CTGTAATACCCACTGGATCTTCAGAGGAAGATGCACCTTTCTGCAGGATCCCTCACCGGTTCTGAGTTGCTGGAATGGCTCCCAATGTATTAAAGTCTCTTTTTTCCCAGCCCCACGGCCAAAGAAGAAGTCGAGATTCCTCAGTTCTGCTTTTCAGGGTTGTCGCAGACATTTTTTCATAGAAATCCTCTCTTTGGGACTTGTTCATCTTCTGGGAAGCTGAGGCCCCAGAGGAGAATGTAAACAATTGTTATCAGCTGCTGTAAATGCAATGGGATGCACCTGGGATTGGTTCATGTTCCATGTTTATAATTAAAGGCCAATCACAGGAGCAAGCTGGGGACAGAGTCCCTGGACACAACTTTGTTATAAATTCTTTCTTTCTATTCTTAGCTTAGCAGCCTCTGCAACTTCTCTCTTTATTCTTATTAGTATAGTAATAATGTATTATATATCATATATCAATAAATCCAGCCTTCTGATCAAGAAACAAGACTCTCGTCCTTCTCTCACCACCCCAGTGACCCACTCAGGTCACTGTAATACCCAAATAACACAAATTCATTAAAATGCTGCTTTTATTTTACTTTTTCCCCATTTTATGCTTCTGCAGAGCGCCTGACTGAGAACCTCCGCGTGGGCCAGACCTCTCTGGTGGCCGCCCAGATGTTTCTCTTCTTCAGAGTTCTCCTGCTGAGGATTTCCCCTCAGCATCTCACCTCGCTGTGGCCAATCATGGTCACAGAACTGGTAAGAAAGAAGTTTTGAACATTTGAAAAAAAAAAAAAAAATTACATTTCAAAAAAAAAAAATTGAAAAAAAAAATTACATTTGAAAAAAGCATGTGGATTTTCCCAATCTAGCTTTTTCCTCTTCCCTGCTTGGAAATGTTTCCACAGTTTTACATTAATCTGATAATTTGGGGAGAAAAAGTTAAATTGTCATTAGGAAATTCCTTTTTGGATTAATTTTGGTGTTGTTAATGGAATTCATGCCTGAATTATTCATTTGTTACGTGTCATAAAGGTTATTTTCAATGTACATCATCACTTTTAGTTGGGATTGAGTTGTGTGAACATTTCAGCTTCTCAATAATTATTTCTTTCAAGATCCAGACATTTCTACAGCTGGAGGAAGAATTAACTGAGGAAGAGGAACCAGGAAAGTAAGAGCTGCCATTTGAGAGACTTCCTTAAAATTAATTAATTTAATTAATTCTCTGGGATAGGGAGGAGATTTTGAGAGATTTCTTTAAAATTAATTAATTTAATTAATTCTCTGGGCTAGGGAGGAGATTTTGAGAGATTTCTTTAAAATTAATAAATTAATTCTCTGTGATAGGGAGGAGCCATCAGGACATTTTGCTATTGCATTTTTATTTTTCTATTACTGCTGAATCATAATTTAGAATTTTTTAGCAGCTAAAACAGTGATACGCTTAAAAATATAATTACTAAGTACTACTTGTGTACAGAAATAAATGCCAAGTTGGCAGTTGAATATTTTTAAGATGCTGCCATTTTTTGGGCATATTTTAGATTATTTTTGCTCCTGCAGAGCAAAAATAAAATAAAAATACTTGTAGAAGAGCCTCCTACAGAACAAAAATAATTGTCCAAGAGCTCCTTAGTGTAAATGTGGGCATTCCTCTTGTGCTGACTGAAAAACCTTGGGTGGGTTGGAGTCTGAATGGGACTTTTTTTTTTTTAATTTAAACACAGGAGCAACAGCAAAATGAGCAAAGGCAAAGGCCCAGGGGCTGAGATCCAGCCCAAGGAGCTGTGCCTGTACCTGGCAGCCTGCAAATTCCTGGACACTGCCCTTTCCTTCCCCCCTGACAGGATGCAGCTCTTCCAAATGTGAGTCCCTCTCCTCCTCCTGTTCCTTTGGCCTTCAAAAAAAATACATCTTTTCCTCAAGGTTTCATTTTGCCTTTCCTCAGTTCCTTTTAGGGGTGCTGGTATTGGATATAGGGGGATAGATTTTGAATTGAATATATGGTGGTATTGAATTTATGGTGATAAATGGGATTTGGGAGAAGAATTTGGTTGTGGTGTAGGAGGATTTCCACATCCTCTTTAGGATTCCTGAACTTGGAAAATTGGGAGAGGAGAAAAGTGGAGATTGTTTTCCATCTGGGAATGTTTTGGAGCTGGTTGTATTTAAATGTTGGCAAATTGGTAATGTAATAATTCATTAATAGCAAAGAAGAACATTTATGACAGATTTTTATGGAAACCACCAGTGCTGCACTAAAGGAGGCATGATCCAAACGAGGATTTTCACCTTTTTAAGGACTCAATCCATTTATTCCAGGTACAAATGGGCCTTTGTGCCAGAGGTGGACACAGAAGCATCTCCTGTCACCTCCCAGCTGGTGGAAAACCACCAGGAGTGCCAGCCACACATCGTGAGGATCATGGATCTGCTCAAGATGAAATATGGGGTAAAGAAACTTCTCCTTTTTAGCTCTTAATCCATTCATTGACTTCTCCAAACACAAGATTTTAAGTTATTCAGGGGATTTTTAGATATTCCCTGTGAGGAAGAGGAGGAGCAGCTGGGGCTGCCCCTGGATCCCTGGCAGTGCCCAAGGCCAGGTTGGACATTGGGTTTGGAGCAGCCTGGGGTGGATGAAGGTGTCCCTGCCCCTGGACCTGCCTGATCCTTGATGTCCCTCCCACCCCAAACCATTCCATGGTAGAAATTCTGTAAGAAAGCAAAGTATTTTTCAACAAATGCTTTGGGGTTTTTTTAAATTTTGAATAAAATTTCTGAATCTCTGAGTTCCAACAGATAAATGAGCTCAGCAAGGAAAGACAGGAATCTTGGTTTCAAGGCCTTTGGTCTGGAAATGAGATTATTTTATGGCAAAAATAATCTTTCAGCCACTCTTGACTTGCTGTTGTTGTCCTTAAATTTCAGTTTTTAAGTTATTGAAGGGATTTTTAGATATTCCCTGTGAGGAAAAGGCTGCCCAGAGCAGCTGTGGCTGCCTCTGGATGCCTGGAATGTCCAAGGCCAGGTTGGACAGAGCTTGGAGCAGCCTGGGACAGTGGAAAACTCATGGATGAGCTGCTTGATCTTCAAGATCCTTTCCAACCTTTCCCTTTAATAAATCCCAGCTTTTTGTTTCCCTTCCAGGAGCCAAAGCACCCCGAGGGAGCTGCCAGGAGCCCCAAATTCCCCCTGCTGAGCCTGCGCTCGGTGTGCAGCATCACCCAGCTGCTGCCCTTCTTCCAGACCCTGTGCTGGGCATTCACAGCCCCTGGCAGTGCCCCCCACCCCTGCCAGCCCTCTGCAGCTGCCCCCCTGCATTCCCCTGGCGGCAGCAGCAGCAGGGTCCTGCAGCAGCTGGAGGAAAGTGTGGAATTGGATTTCCTGGAAAATATGGAAAGCTGAGCCCTGGGACGCTCCTGAATTAACCACAGGGAAAGCTTGGCTGAAATTCTGGGGTTTTTTCCCCCAAATTTCCAGCTGCATTTTGGGATTTCCAGCTCCATTTTTGGGATTTCTCTTCGATTATTCAGGTGGTAAAAGGCAGGAATCTCCACTTGCTGTGGAGATAAGGGAATAAGGGAAGTTTGGTGGGAATTTCTCAGAGTTTCTGTGGTTTATTTGTTTGCCGTGGGAAGGATTAAAGATGTTTTGTAAATAGAGGAAGAATATTTTGGACTTGGTGGAAGTAGAAGCTGCCCTGGGAGTTCTCCAGGACTTTAAAGTGTTTTTGGAACTGAGTCCTGAAGGAAATTGGAAGGAAAATCCAATATTGCATGTCAGTGTACAATCAGTTTGCAGCGAGTCATTTCCTGAGGTGAAAGCCCCTAATTTGACCTAAATTGATCAAATTCTAAAAAAATCCCCCAAATTCCCCACAGATGGATTGTCTGAGGCTCAGCACTGTGCAAGGAGCTGCAGCTTTGCCCTGGCTGTCATTTCAGAGCAGCATCTTCAGGCTTAGCAATTCCTAACAAATCAGAAATGTGCATAAAACACAAACCTCTGCAGGAACAGTTTGTAATTAGCATTACTTGAGGGGATTTTGATTTTAATTAATCAATTAAAATATTTAAATTCATATTTTTTAAATGAAAAACTTTCATTCTTTCAGTGACTCAGGTGGCTGCAGCTAATGAAATGCAACTAAATGAAAATAATGCTGTAAAAATAGAAACTGCTTAACTGAAATGAAAATAATATTCTTTGTTTTTTGTTTTTGTAAGAACATTTTTTGTACAAAAGAATGTATTTGGCTGTTCCTGGATGGTGAGAGAGGTAGGGGGATCACGCCAGTGCTTTTCCTAAATTAAAAAGGACATGGGAAAAGATTTGGTTGGGAGTCAAGGATTTCTCTTTCCCAAACTCCCACAACAACAAGGGAGGCTTCTCTGCAGTTTTAGGTACAGATGGATGAGATTTTCATCTTGGGTTTATAAACTAAAATAATGCAGCATCCTTTCCTCTCACACTGGAATAGTGTACAAAAATAACAGCACAGGAGGCTTGTGCTAAACTTATTTAAATCTTTGCATTTTTACAGTGAAGGAAAGTGGTGGACTGAGGCGTGGTCATTAAGAATGTGAATTATTTCTATTAATATAATTTATTAAAGGTCTCTAATGCTGTTGGAATGAGCACAAGTGAAAATTACCCTTTGAAAGCATCACTTGAATGTTGGAGCAGGACATTGTTAAAATGTTGGTGTTCATTTCCCACCCATCTTCAATAACTTCTATGGACAATCTGAATACTCAGGACGGTTTGGTATTTTCACTTTCAGTTTCCTGCTGGTTGCATTCCACACTTGGATATTTCCCTTCAAGTGCTGGGAAAGGAGAGCAGGGTTAGATGGGATGTTGGGAAGGAATTCCTGGCTGGGATGGAATTCCCAGAGCAGCTGGGGCTGCCCTGGATCCCTGGCAGTGCCCAAGGCCAGGCTGGACACTGGGACAGCGGGAGGTGTCCCTGCCATGGCAGGGGTGGCACTGGGTGAGTTTAAGGTCCCCTCCAACCCAAACCATTCTGGGATTCTGTTATTCCATGATTCTATCAAATGGTGTTAAAATCTAAGAAAACTTTCTGCTTTCAGTGGCATCAGACATTTAAGGGACTTGCAGAATCCTTCCACTTCAGAAGAAAAAGTTCTTTAAGATTTAGTATCCAAGCAGATCTTTTATAATTATAAATAAGATGTGAAAAAGGAGGAAAGGGCTTTGACTCAAAGTCCTGTTTGAGTGCTGGAGGAGCACAGTTCCACAGGCCCAAAGGGGAATATTTTACTCCTTCATTCCATGACTTTATTACTGTTCCATGTGGGACTAACTGTGGTTGTTTCTCCTGCTGATAAATCCCCTGAGGAGCCACAGCAGAGCTCTCCTGCTCTGAGCTGCTCCCACCAAAGCAGAACAGCCTCACTGGCCATGAATCTGGAAATGGTTTTGCCTGGAACTCCAGACATCCTCTGCTTTTCCAGGGCAGGAAATGCTTTTGCTTTGCTGTGATTTTGCTTTTCAGTCTAACCAAGCTCAGCTTTGTCCTTGGGACACTTCAGCTCCAATGCAGCAGAGCCACAGTGCTCAAAGGGGGACCTGGAAATATTCCAAAGGATCTCATTGTCCTGAAAGAAAAAGTCAAAATCAGGTGGTGCAACCAAGGGAAACTGCTGAAGAGCAGCAGGACCTGAAGTGTAGAGCATTAAGTGATGGTTGTGTACCCCATGCCATACATGAATGTAATTCTTCTATGAATATTAAATGTTATTTTGCAATGCCTTTTCAAATGCAGTTCTTGTTTTTCAACCTGCCTTCACTGCTCACTCACCAATTCTAATTTTTATCTGACTCTGGAAAAGCTCCCAGATTCAAACACAGAAAAGATCTCCCAAGATCATCAGGTCCCAGCTGTGCCCCATGGGCACCTTGTCCCCAGCCCAGAGCCCTCAGTGCCACCTCCAGGGGACACCTGCAGGGATGGGGACTCCAAATTCCACTGGGCAGCTCTTCCCAAGGTCTGAGCACCTTTCCAGGAGGAAATTCCTGCTGAAAATCCCATCTCAGGGGCTGAGGCTGTGCATGCCAGCAGCAGGACCCTGGGAGAGGCTGTGCTGCTCCTCTCATCCCCCTCCTGCACCCCTGGCCTGCACAGCCCTGGGATTGTCACCCTGACATCCCTGTCCTGCCTTTGGGGCTGGGTCTGGCACAGGGAGCTCTGCAGGGATCAGGGACTGACCCTGCACGGGGGGAGAGACTGCCCAGGAATCGGGAGCTGCTGCTGCCAACTCCGGCTGAACATTCCCACTCATCCGAGGGAAAACTTCCACACATCCAAGGGAACATTCCCACACATCCAAGGGAACATTCCCACTCATCCAAGGGAAAACTTCCACACATCCAAGGGAAAACTTCCACACATCCAAGGGAACATTTCCACACATCCAAGGGAACATTCCCACTCATCCAAGGGAACACTTCCACTCATCCAAGAGAACACTTCCACACATCCAAGGGAACATTCCCTCACATCCAAGGGAACATTCCCACTCATCCAAGGGAACATTCCCACTCATCCGAGGGTAAACTTCCACACATCCAAGGGAACATTCCCACACATCCAAGGGAAAACTTCCACACATCCAAGGGAAAACTTCCACACATCCAAGGGAACATTTCCACACATCCAAGGGAAAACTTCCACACATCCAAGGGAACATTTCCACACATCCAAGGGAAAACTTCCACACATCCAAGGGAACATTTCCACACATCCAAGGGAACATTCCCACACATCCAAGGGAACATTCCCACTCATCCAAGGGAAAACTTCCACACATCCAAGGGAACATTCCCACACATCCAAGGGAACATTCCCACTCATCCAAGGGAACACTTCCACTCATCCAAGAGAACACTTCCACACATCCAAGGGAACATTCCCTCACATCCAAGGGAACATTCCCACTCATCCAAGGGAACATTCCCACTCATCCGAGGGTAAACTTCCACACATCCAAGGGAAAACTTCCACACATCCAAGGGAACATTTCCACACATCCAAGGGAAAACTTCCACCCATCCAAGGGAACATTTCCACACATCCAAGGGAACATTCCCACTCATCCAAGGGAACATTCCCACACATCCAAGGGAACATTTCCACTCATCCAAGGGAACATTCCCACACATCCAAGGGAACATTTCCATATATCCAAGGGAACATTTCCTCACATCCAAGGGAACATTCCCACACATCCAAGGGAACATTTCCACTCATCCAAGGGAAAACTTCCACACATCCAAGGGAACATTCCCACACATCCAAGGGAACATTCCCACACATCCAAGGGAACATTTCCACTCATCCAAGGGAACATTTCCTCACATCCAAGGGAACATTCCCACTCATCCAAGGGAACATTTCCATATATCCAAGGGAACACTTCCACATCTCCAAGGGAACATTCCCACACATCCAAGGGAACATTCCCACACATCCAAGGGAAAACTTCCACACATCCAAGGGAACATTCCCACACATCCAAGGGAACACTTCCTCACATCCAAGGGAACATTCCCACACATCCAAGGGAACATTTCCATATATCCAAGGGAACATTTCCACTCATCCAAGGGAACACTTCCACTCATCCAAGGGAACATTCCCACACATCCAAGGGAACATTCCCACTCATCCAAGGGAACATTCCCACACATCCAAGGGAACATTTCCACATCTCCAAGGGAATATTTCCATATATCCAAGGGAACATTTCCACTCATCCAAGGGAACATTTCCACACATCCAAGGGAACACTTCCACTCATCCAAGGGAACATTTCCTCACATCCAAGGGAACATTCCCACACATCCAAGGGAACATTCCCACACATCCAAGGGAACATTTCCACTCATCCAAGGGAAAACTTCCTCACATCCAAGGGAACATTTCCACATCTCCAAGGGAACACTTCCACACATCCAAGGGAACACTTCCACTCATCCAAGGGAACATTTCCACACATCCAAGGGAACATCTCCACACATCCAAGGGAAAACTTCCACACATCCAAGGGAACATTCCCACTCATCCAAGGGAACATTCCCACACATCCAAGGGAACATTCCCACACATCCAAGGGAACATTTCCACATCTCCAAGGGAACATTCCCACACATCCAAGGGAACATTTCCTCACATCCAAGGGAACATCTCCACACATCCAAGGGAACATTCCCACACATCCAAGGGAACATCTCCACACATCCAAGGGAACATTCCCACACATCCAAGGGAACATTTCCACATCTCCAAGGGAACATTTCCTCACATCCAAGGGAACATCTCCACACATCCAAGGGAACATTCCCACACATCCAAGGGAACACTTCCACACATCCAAGGGAACATTCCCACACATCCAAGGGAACATTCCCACACATCCAAGGGAACATTTCCTCACATCCAAGGGAACACTTCCACATATCCAAGGGAATGCCCAGGAAGAAAACTCTTCTGTGCCATGAGCTTTAACACCTCAGGCTGGAGGAGTGTGGTTTAAATAAATGTGTGTGGTGGTTTTAGTTTGAAATTGGGTGGAAATACTGATTTTGGTTTGTTAATTTGAGATTTTTTGGTGTGGTGGGTTCAATGTTTCTTCATTATTAGTGTACTCACAGGAATGTATTTACTTATTTTTTGCTGGGATGTAGGATTAGGAGAAAGGTAAAATAGGTTTAAAATTTTAAAAGGGTACAAAGAAAAATTTATCAACAGGAACTTAAAGAAAGAATAATAAGAATTACAATAAAATCTTTAGGATACTTTTCTTTTTCTTATAACTTTTTTACTGATGATGTAGAGAAAAAGAACCTAAAATTTCAGTCAGTTTAGTACTTCTAAAATGATCTTTTTTAGTTTACTTAGGGAGAGAAGTCCCTCTTGTTAATTTTATGGAGACTTCTCTACAAGAAAACAATTTTCTTGTGGTTGTCTTTATAGATAGCAGCCCAGGGAAATTTGTAATTGTGAAATCCTTCTCATTTTTTATAAGTTTTGTTATCGTTGTGTTTATGGGCTATGCTAACTTATGGGGTAGTGTTTTAAAGATGAATTGTTTAAAGGTAAAGGTTCTCATTATCTATCTCTGAAATAATCTTCTTCTTGGGGGTACAGCATCTTTATCACTCTAATTTCTCTGTTTCAAGTTCTCACAGGATCACAGTTACTTTAACATCCTTAAAACGTTATTTTAACATGTTTACTTTAACATGTAACTGTACCATCTTTATTTTAGTGTGGAGGCTAGTTTATTTTTATTTATTTTTTAATTTAGTTTATTTTAGTGTGGAGGCTACACTGCGGGAAAGCTGCTGCTCTCATTTCACCTTTCCCTGCACCCAGGGCCTCCCCTGGAACGTTGTGTGAGGGGTGGATGTGGAAGTGGAAGTGGAAGTGGATGTGGATGTGGAAGTGGATGTGGAAGTGGATGTGGAAGTGGATGTGGAAGTGGAAGTGGAAGTGGAAGTGGAAGTGGATGTGGAAGTGGAAGTGGATGTGGATGTGGATGTGGAAGTGGAATGGAAGTGGATGTGGAAGTGGAAGTGGATGTGGAAGTGGATGTGGAGGTGGAAATGGAAGTGGAAGTGGATGTGGATGTGGAAGTGGATGTGGAAGTGGATGTGGATGTGGAAGTTGAAGTGGATGTGGATGTGGAAGTGGATGTGGATGTGGAAGTGGATGTGGATGTGGAAGTGGATGTGGAAGTGGATGTGGATGTGGAAGTGGAAGTGGATGTGGATGTGGAAGTGGAAGTGGATGTGGAAGTGGATGTGGATGTGGATGTGGAAGTGGATGTGGATGCGGATGCGGATGTGGATGTGGAAGTGGATGTGGATGTGGATGTGGATGTGGAAGTGGATGTGGATGTGGAAGTGGAAGTGGATGTGGAAGTGGATGTGGAAGTGGATGTGGAAGTGGATGTGGATGTGGAAGTGGATGTGGATGTGGATGTGGAAGTGGATGTGGAAGTGGATGTGGAAGTGGATGTAGATGTGGAAGTGGAAGTGGAAGTGGATGTGGATGTGGAAGTTGAAGTGGATGTGGAAGTGGATGTGGATGTGGATGTGGATGTAGATGTGGATGTGGATGTGGATGTGGATGTGGAAGTGGATGTGGAAGTGGATGTGGATGTGGAAGTGGATGTGGATGTGGATGTGGAAGTGGATGTAGATGTGGAAGTGGAAGTGGAAGTGGATGTGGATGTGGAAGTTGAAGTGGATGTGGAAGTGGATGTGGATGTGGATGTGGATGTGCCAAACACTGAGAGCTGAGGAGCCACCCAAGGATTGCTGTGAGGAACAGCAGGATGTGGCTGTGGCCATGAGGAGGTGGGACAGCAATTTCTGGGACAAATGTCCTTGTTCTTCACAGGGATGAGGGCAGGGCGTGTCACACAAAATTCCCAGATGTTCCTCCAGGGTCATCCTGCTCTGCTCCAGGAGACGAGCTTGGGGTCAAAGAAGGAATCCCAGAATCACCAAGGCTGGAAAAGAACTTTAGGCTCTGTCAAGATTCAGTTATTAAAGTTATTAAAAATGCCTCTGCCTGAGTTAAGGTGCAAATGAGGCCATATGCCATGACAATAGTATGAGGTTTATCTGATGGTAAATACGAGACAGAAAATAAAGAGATAGAAAAGTGGGGGGGGGGGGGCAGGGGGGACAGAAATAGAGTGACAGGGACAGAATAAAGAAAAAATCACCACTCCACAGA